ACACAGGTTCTTATCTGTGCTAGGCAAGTGCTCTGCCCCTGACCTATATCCCAGGCCCGTGTACGATGTTTTCTATTAATTTTGTTTTATGCCCTCTAAGCAGTCATCATTTTTTTTTAGTGCTGTTAGTGCTTGTATCCAATTTATTCACAAATGTTGTTTCTTGCGGCCACTCCTTTTCACATCACACTCCTTCCTTTAGGCTTACTTTCTGAAGACTATCCTTGAGTAGTTTTTTCATTAGGGTACGTTAGTAGTAAAAAAAATACCTCAGGTTTCATTTGTCTGAGAATGTGAATTTTATTCTGATTCACGATTTAGCTGGATCTAGAATTGTAGGCTGACAGTTTCCTCTCAGCACCTGGAAGATGTTTTTCTTCTGTCTTCTGCTTCAGTTGCCATTATTGAAGAGTTTACTGTTGCTTCTTTTAAGATGCTTTTCCTCACTGTTTGCTTTCATAACCTTTTCTTTTTCTGGGGGTGGGAGTACTGGGAATTGAGCTCAGAGGCATTCAACCACTGAGCCACATCTCCATCCCTATTTTGTATTTTATTTAAAGACAGGGTCTCACTGAGTTGCTTAGCTCCTTGCTTATGCTGAGGCTGGCTTTGAACTCAAGATCCTCCTGCCTCGGCCTCCTGAGCCTCTGGGATTACAGATGTGTGTGCGCCACTGTGCTTGGCTTCTTTTGTCTTTTCTGCTTCTTTTTAGACAGGTTCTTGCTCTGCTGTCCAGGCTGCCAGACTGGCCTCAAAGTCATGGGCTCAAATAATTTTAAATTTTAAAATTTCCCCTGAGCCTCTGGAGTAGCCAGAACTGCAGGCCTGGGCCACTGCACCTGGCTCTGCTTTTACACGTTTGATTTTGGTGTTCTGTATTCCACTTCCATGTGTGTACTACAGCTATCTTTCTTGGGTTTTATTTGCTTCTAGAATCTGAAGAATCAGTCAACTTTCCAGCAGTTGTGGAAAATCCTCAGCTATTATTTATTTCTGTCTTTCTACTTCTCCATTTTCTGTGTTTTAGTGTTCCCAGTCTGATCAGGTGTTGATGATTAGAATATATCTTATCTTTCTTAACTTCCCTTTCAAGTTTTCCCATATTTTAATATGTGTTTTATATTTTAAATTGAAATAGATTAATTTCCTTTGATCTGTTTTTCAGTTTGTTTATTATTTCTCCAGCAAATTTCATTTGACTATTCAACCTACCTATTGAGTTAAATCATTTTAGGAATTATGGTTTTTTTAAATTAATAAACATTATATTCATGTTTTACAAATCTTTCTGGTGTTTTTATCTTTTGTCTTTTTTCTAATAT